GACTTTAGGTGTAAATTCATTTGTTATTCTCAAATATGACAACAATTTTTATCCCGCTAAAATTGTTAACGAGGATAATAATGGTGAATATTACTGCTGTGCAATGCAAAAAAGTGGAATAAATTATTGGAAATGGCCTGATTCACCTGACCTTCTTTGGTATCAAAGAAAGTATATTATTTTGAAAATAAATGAACCTAATGTTATAAATACATGAGGGGCTTTGTCGGTTCCTGAAATGAAGCAATTTCTATAATATTATTTATATTAATTTTTGTACTTTGGGTTTTCGAATATGAAATATTATAATACTAAATTTTGCATTTTTTGTGAGATAAATCTTCAATAAACTATTTAATGGTCATTTTATACCTAATTTCATCTTTAAACACTCAGTGGCCACAACAGGTTCTCTTCCTGGCCACAACAGGTGAAAAGGTGGCCACAACTGGCGAAATTGCATGTAACTAGTATTTTATTAAATCTGTCTCTTTTAGACTCATATACTATATTATGTCTGTCTTTCAAGTCCAGTAACATTTACAGTTTCCTTTAATGTGGCCCAAATGAAAGATTGCCCTAAAATTATTAATCTAGCTTTAGTCAATGATACCAAACTCTTAAAGTGGCCACAACCGGTGCTTCTACCCTACATAATTAAGGTACTTTTATAATTTAAATATTATGTTTATTGATAATAAGATTATACATAATATAAGCAACGTCAAAATACGAAAAAAACATACAGTCGAGAATTAAATATACTTAAGTATATTTAATCTTTGATACAGTCATACGGTATACAATAAATAAATAGATAAGTAAATAAACATTTAATACATTTAGTATACATTTAAATGGGTATTTTTTTAAAAATATTACATTATGCCAAACGTAGTAGGCTATGATTCTGATGACATTTTATCCTTTGTTTTTATCAAGCTGTCAAATCTAAACCTGACAGCTATTTTATGTTGTTTTGGTCTTCATGACGATTGTTTATTTTTGCTATAAAATGTCATCCAGACGAATTTGCAAGCATCCTAGAAATAGTTTTTTTATGTTTGTGGTCACTACATATCAAAAAAACAAGTAAAATTTGAAATAGTGCAGAATACAAAGCTTTGGGACGCCTATGAATGTTATTTGGGCATGACTTTTGCCAACTTAGACAAAAATTGGACACCAAATGTAATTTGTGGCAGCTGTAGATCAGAGGAGAGAAAAGGAAAATGCCTTTTGGCATTCCAAGAATTTGGAGGGAGCCCACCAATCATGTCACAGATTGTTATTTTTGTCTAGTCGACTTAAAAACTTATAAGAAGTCATCTGATAGAAACAGTCTACCAGTGCAGCAATTGAACATAGCGATACGCTCCCTGTTTCTTTCCCACCAGGCACTTTAAGATCCAAAGAATCAGAATTGGAAGAAATTTTATTTGGAAATATACGAACCATGTAGCCAGGACCAAGACTATATACCCGAAGGTGAGCCACATTTTGTAATACAACTACACTTAAACGGTGAGAGATCAAGGTCTTACAAAAGAAAAAGCTGAAATTCAATGGAACCTTCTCAACATGGGCTGTACATATATGGTATCGTTAACGTTATCAAGATTATTCCGGTTTTTATTCTGTCCAAGATGATATATATATTTGCTTTTGTGCTGACGTCAATGAACTTTTCAACGAAATTGGAATAGTTCATGATACTCACAATGGATTTGATACTAAGCAATGTCGTTTATTTATTGATTTTTTTGTCTCCAGCTTAAAGGTGGTCAAAAAATGTCGTTTTGTGGTAAAAATTCAATAACTTTTTAATTATAATAGAAATAAATATATATTTTTTAATGTCTTAAATAGGTTAAAAATAAGTATAAGTAAGCATGTTTTTACATCAAAAACTTAAGGCTTTTTTATCGCATTTTTATATTGTAAAAACACACCGTCTTCATTTGTTGCTGTCCTGTTTGTTTTTCTTGAAAACATGTACCTACATTTTTTGAAATCCTTATTTCGGGATTCTTGTGCCTCCTCTGAAAGGACCCCGATTGGTAAAGATATATTTTCCATCATCTTCTTTCCATGTACTAATATTTTATGAACTGTTACAGGCATGTAGTACCATGGATACAGTTCCACAAACAACTTTGCTGTTTGCTGAGCAAACATTTCCAACTTATTTGGATCTATCAAGCTTTGTGCAGTGATAGCTTACAGAATAGTTTAAAAACTATTTATTAAGTTAAAATCAACCTTAATTATCTCTGCAACTAAGGATGAATTTTGAAAAAATCTTCTTGATGTGTTTCCAGAGTTGGAATTACCTGAGCCGGTTTTAACAACGTCTTTTATTAAACCCATTTTTAATCTAAATTCCTGTTGAATTCTTTTTTTCAGATTTCTTAATTTCCTGCAGATTTTTTGTGGCGCTCTAATATACATTCCATAAACGTAACGCTGGCATGTAAAGGAGATATTCCAAATTGAAGAGTTTCTTCATTTGTTGGCTTATTGACAACATTTTGTAAATTGTTCATTTCTGTCGGATTTGCTTTACATATAAAACATGTAGAAGCAGAAGGAGTTTTTGTTATGATTTGTGCTGTCTTTCCATCGATCATGGTAAATTTCCTGTCATGTTTAACAGAGAAACTTTTTCCGGATATTCTTACTTATGTTTTTTTTAGCTGGGAAATTTCGTTAGTTATTTAGTTGTAAACATCCAAAACTTTTTCAGGGGACTCTTTTACAAATTCAAAATAGATAGGGCGGCACCATCTCGTAGATGAAGGCAAATCATTGTTCCAAATTGTTGAGGCAAAGCCAGTTCTAAGTAGTAAAGGCACCATGGATACCATGTAGATGCTACTATCTGATGTTTCCTGATTATCACTTTGTACATATTTTTTATTGTAATTAGATTGCCCGGAAGCACCATCACATCTTCACTTACTAACTAAAAGTAACTCTGTTTTATCTTCTACATCAATATCGATAGCTTCCAAAATTCGCTTTGTGGTATGATATAGAAGACTTTGCAAATCTACACGGGCACTTCTTTCAGTAATTACCATTTTTTCTTGGTAGCACTCTTTTTTAGCTATAAAGCTACCTTATAATAAGGTGGTAAAATATCATGTCCAAAATCCTTAACGGCATTTTTAAATGCAAAGCCTGTTCCGTTGGCATATACATTTTCTTCTCAAAGTTTTCGGGGAATTTCGCAGCTGCGGATCCTCGTTAAAAGTTTAACCGTATGCTTTTTAGAACGTTCAGCACAATCCAAAAAATACTTATTTGGTCTTCACACACCTGATGAACCTGGTTGTGATAAATCTTCATTAAATTATTATTTCGTTTTTTAACCATCCTTCATTTTTAATTTTAATAGTATATTATGTATCAAGTTTGATAAACGCCATTTTATACACGAATTTAATTTAGGCACGAGCGAGCTTGCGAGCGAGTGCTTAAATTAATGAGTGTATAGAAAAGTTTATAAACGAGGTGCATACGATACTTTTTCTACGACAAATACTTATTATTATCTTAAAATGATTTAAATAAAAAATTTTATAGAGCGCCATTTATGAAACAACAGGGGAAACTGTCAAATGTCACATTTTTACATTGTATAAACACAATTATAAAGGTTATAAATCGAAATGTATATTGAAAATTGACAGTTTTTTACAGTGAAAGTAAAGGAAATGTTTTATGAGGACTTTACAGCAGAGTCCGTGCCCGAATTTAAGTTATAGTTTATTGCCGGCGAAATTAAAAGGCCAGTACAATGTTCATATAAACTTTTCAAATATTGGCTTTGAGAAAATATTTAATATTTTTGTATTTTTGTATTGAGATAATAAAATAATTTTCACATTTAGTATTATTTTACAAGAAATGCACTTTATTTTAACGATTGTATGACATTTGACAACTGTAAACTAACTTAAAACTAACTTTAAAAGGTCACTTAGTGTCATGGAAACATGAACGATAAAGGGCGTTTTAAAGGTGGGAGTAGAAAAAGCTATTTAAACACAGATGTGATAACTTGGGATAATTTTGGGTGGAGACTCCTCAATTTACACATGAAAATTTGACATGGCGCGCCGGTAATACAGATTTCCAAGAATTGTTACTGTATTCTTTTATAGATGTCGCTCCATACAAATATTAATTTAAATTATTTTTATATATTAAGTATTTGTCGTAAAAAAAGGATATTATGCAAGTCGTTTATAAACACTTATAGACACTCGTTTAATTAAGCACTCGCTCGCAAGCTCGTTCCTAAATTAAATTCGTGACTAAACTAAAATGGTATATATATATATATATATATATATATATATATATATATATATATATATATATATATATATATATATATATATATATATATATATATATATATATATATATATATATATATATATATATATACATGATACATAACATACTATTTTAAAGTGCAAGCACACGTTTCCAAATTAAATAACATATGCTTCGCTTATAAATTTTAATCATATTGGCAATAAACTCTGATCTCTTGTTTATTTATATAACGACATTGGAATATTCCATGAGAATTATTTTTTATTTTTATTTTAATAGGCTTTCTTAATAAAGATAATTATAATAATTAATGTCAATATTTTGTAATTGTTAATAATTTATGACCATATGACCGTAATATGGTCCATATTAAATAATACCTGTCATACCTATATTTTTTATGGGTAAACCCTTATTTTAACTTTGTTTTCAAATTGTTAGTAAAAGTCATTCTAATTATCGATCAAAGTTCATTTTCATGCTTGAAAAATAGAGAAATGATTAACCTACATATTTAGGTACCTACGATTGTTATTGAAATATCACGAAAAATCACCTATCAATACTTAATTATTACCTAATACATAATCTATCTAGATAAATATTGTTGTTTGTGTACAAATGTTATTTGATAACAGTATTAATGTAAAATTCGATCAAATCCAAAATAGTCTGTATTAGTAAAGAGGGTTCAGTAAAGTGCGGAAATGTCGAGTAAATTGTTAAAAATTGGTTTTATTGGGGGTGGCAAAATGGCTCAAGCCATGGCCAAGGGATTTATATCTGCAGGTCAGTCGTCTTTTTAAAATAATTTTGTAAGTAGGTACCTAATTAAAAAAAAATTCATGCAATGTTAAGTGAACGCAGTTATAAATAAAAACAATAAATGTACTAAAAATAATAAGGAAAAGTACAAATAATAGTTAATTGGTATGTATAAGCTTTTATTAATTTTAAAAGTTATATTGATTCGCTTGTTATAAAAACAAGGAAATGATAACACATTTTTGTATACATTTTTCCAAACTTATATATGTAGAGGTCATTTATTCTTAGTTTATATTACATAATTAGGTATGTCACATAATTAGGTATGTCACATAATATCATATTATGAAGGCACATTTAATATAAACATTTTTAACAGCTGGGTTGGGGTAAACTCTTGATTTAGATAATGGTTTGCTGCTTCGTAAGAACTATATAATTTAGGGTATCCCGAAAATGACGCACGCGAAAGGGGAGGACATTTAAAGTATTTTTTTTATGAAAAGTGGTTTTTGAAATAGCCAGTTTAAACCAAGTTTTTAAAAATCAACAAACAACACTGTATATTTTAAAAGATAAAATATTTCACATCGAAATTAGATCTAACGTTATGGAAATAAACAAACCAAACCTCTTTGTTTTCGTTTGTTTCCATAATAAAAATGATAAGCTTGACATGGCTGTTCAATATTTTAAAACAATTGTTAATTTTTTTATTTTTCAAATCAAAACCGGCAAAACATATTCAATCAGGATTTTGACATTAAAAGATGAATATTAAGTGGTTTGATTTTGTATTTGTTTTTCATATAGATTTAAGACCAATCAAGACAAAAAAGTCTTTTGTAAGCAAAGGACTATTTTCAAAATTTACATTTTCTTTAAATAAGTTGTAATTTATACTGTGTGAAAATATATTTAAATAACTAAACAATATATAAGTATAGGTTTAGCAAAAGGTGAAACAATGATCTCCAGCTGCCATCCATCTGACCTGGCCTCTGCGGCTGCTTTTAAAGTAAAACAAGACAAAAAGTAAACTTCATGAAATATTAAAGATAAGTATTTTTTTAGGAATTGGGCGCTAAATCTATATTTGAAAATGTCCCAGTAGTACAAGAATCTGATGTTGTAATAGTATCAGTAAAACCCACAATTGTACCAATAGCTCTTGGAGATATTTCCAAAGCAAACATTAAAGCTGACAAACTATTTTTGTCCATTGCTATGGGGGTGTCAACTAAACAATTAGAAAAAGTAAAACAGTAACATTAATATTGCTTGTGTTAATTAGGTAATTAAATTGCGTTTTAGATTTTACCCAGTGAATCCAGAGTCATAAGAGTGATGCCAAATACTCCTGCTTTGGTAAGAAGTGGGGCTTCCGTTTTTGTAACAGGTTCAAAAGCTACAGAAGATGATGCCGTTATAACCAAAAAATTGTTGCAATCCATTGGAACTTGCGAGCAAGTACCAGAATATTTATTGGACCCAATTACAGCTTTAAGTGGATCTGGACCAGCCTATGTAAGTAGTAATATTACCTAATGATATACGTCTGTTATATCTAAAACAAACCTGTTTAAAAAAAATCTTTTCATATTAACTAAATAACCAAATAGATACTTTAACCGATGCATCGGAATGTAAGTAACGTAAAGTACTATCAGAGCTGTCAGAAAAAAGTATCTTAGTTACTTTAGAGTAACTTAGTTACTTTAAAGTATCTAAGTTACTGTATCTTAGTTCCTTTATTCCTTTTTACAAAAAGTATCTAGTATCTTAGATACTTTTTAAAAGGAACTGTATCTTGTAACTTAAAAAAAGTATCTTAGATACCGAAAAGTATCTTAGATACCAAAAAGTAACTTAGATACCAAAAAGTAACTTAGATACCAAAAAGTATCTAAGATACCACAAGAAAAGTTCATTTAGTCAAGTTGTTCGAAACGGCCGCGGCCATCGAAGTTATTATAATAAGTATGCTGGCGACTTCAGCGACTGGCGCCAATCGACTGGCGGCGATTTTTGTTATACCTACTTAATTTTTATTCACCTATACTTCTTTTATAATCTATGACTTCGCCACCCGCTCTGTAGAAGGGTGTTTCCGTTCGTTGCGACTTGAATTTATAGTGGTGTCTGAAATAAGTTAGGTTAGGTAAGTACTTGCACTTGCTTCTTTATGATGTACTGATGTAGGATATTGGTTGTTACATTGTACCGTACATTCTATAATGTTCAATGTATGTTTTCCATTTTAAATTTAAAAAAATGTTAAAAAAGATTAAATGAAAAGTGTGAGATAATTTTTTTATTTTTATAATTAAGTGGTGTTTAATTAACGATTTTATCTCTTTTTATTTTTAAGATATTTTAAAAGTGCCTAAGTTAGATACTTTTTGCATTAGACCCTTCAATGGTTTTAATCAACTAGATTTTATTGAAAAAAATTGTTAAAAAAGTAAGCTGTAAGGTACACTATGTATTTTTGTAACCCGATTCTTTAAGTATACTGAAATACTTGTTTTGGCATATTCGTGATCGTCTAGTTAATTTACTTACTTTATAAAAATTAGGACTCTACGTTGTGTATTTACTTACATTGATAATAACGATATTTTGAAATTGGTCAGGTTTAATGAAACACAAGTATTTAATTTTTAAACCCCTGATTTAATTTAAGCAAAGCCAAAGGGGTGGCCCGTTGGGTCAGAGCACAGGGAAAAGGGACCATAAAAACCCTGGCGACTTACACAGTTCAAATAAAAATAAAATACAAAACAAAACATAGTCATATGGGTCATAATCACAAGAATACAGCCCAAATAGCATTTGGACGTCCGGCCAACGTCGCTTATAACAACCCGACGTCGGTACACAACGTCTGCGCGACTACGTATTTACTTGAATCTGCACCAAAATGGGGAATAAAAATCCTGGTCGGTACGACGTCGGACGCGACGTCGGATTAAGAAAGAATTCCTTACTAAATTCAACGTCGGTTTGGACGACTCTCCCGACGTCGTCTTGTTCCAAAACAATATACTCGGGACGACCTTTCTAACACTGGCCGCTCATATACTTACCACATGTGTGGTAAGTATATGTGGCCGCTAGTGATTAGCGCCCTCTTGATTAACATTGTGTAATCATAGAGTACGAATATATTTTAACCAACAGATGGCATCATGGCATCAAACACAATCATCCATACAAACGAAACAATCATGTCGCTTACACTAACTAATTTATAGATATTATTTTCGTTAAGAATGGAATTGTATCGCAGAGAGATTCTTGAAATATACAAACACAGGTCACTTTACTGATGAATGTGACCGAGGTGGATCGAAAAAAATTAATGCGCCCTAATAAATATTTAAATTAACAATTTTTTTCGGAAGAAAAAAAAATAAACATATTTTTTTTTGTGCAGATATCAATGTGAAAATGCATCAAAACATCTTTAAGAATTAACTAAAAACTACGAGACATAATTTTTAACTTAATTTTAAACATTCAATGGGTAAAAGTGAATATTCGTGATGATCATTACCCAACTAGCATTTATGGTGGCAGATACGTAACTGCCACTATCAAAGCCACTACAAAGGGGGCGGTGACCATCGGCGGCTACGTTGTATATTCGTAGCTGCTAAGTAACTGCGACCAAAATGGGGAAAGATTTTGAGTAGCCGGGTAGTGTCTTGGGTAGTTTTTGCCACTAAAAGAGTTACTATGGCACTATAAAGTAGCCTACCGTTGAATGCGACTTATCTGTTACGAAGCTGCCTAGTCGCGGGTTCGTGGCAGCCTAGTGTTTTGCCACCGACATGTAGAACTTTCATTAAACTGTTAAACTTTATTCGCAGCGACCTCTTCAGTTTCACACTTCATAAAAATAAATGTCATGATGGAAAGTAATTATGGAAGCCATTATTATTTTTTTGTTATTTACCATGCGATTTTAACGCCTTTTGTGGGTCAATTCCAAAACGCAATCGACTTTACTGAATAAAATAGTGGGTTTATATGACAAAATTTTCGAGCGCCTTTCAAAACATTTCAAATTATTAAATTATTTGCAATAGAAACTCATGTAGTAATGTAAACTGTTTTGAGGTCATCAATAAATTATTATAAAAAAAAAAAAAAAAAAATTAATTTGCTTAAAACTGGCGTGAAACTTTAAAATATTAGTCCACCGTCACAAATAACAAAATATCTAAGGAAAAAATCTTTAGTTTAGGTATATTTAGCTTAAAAACGCAAAATGTTTGAGCCATTTGGCTGTTCGTCTGAAAAGTCATGAAAAAAATATGGCCGTTTAATCCGAAAAATACTTTATAGTTCCATATGCTTCCACAAAGTACCGGGAACAATAATATATTAGGCCAACCCTACCCGTTTGGAACTTTAAAATCTTCGGATTGATAAAGTGACAATTGCAACTACCCAGAGACGACTTTATGGAAACAATAACTTTTTGGGAACTACATGGTCCACGATTCTTTGGAACATAAAGTGATTTTTTCCAAGAAAGTTCCCTGCGCCACTAAATTGCCACTTAATTGCAGCGTTTATGCTACACCGATCGCGGCGTGCCACTATAACGTTCCGGCTTGTCCTTTGAAGTTCCCGTTTGGCGACGCGAGAATCATATTTTTTGTAAAATGCAAATTGAATATTATCAAACCTAATGTTTTACTGGTTATTGCAATTCTTATGATCACATGAAATTATTCATTTATTTTCAAAAAAATTAATTATTATAAAAAAACAGGACCCACACCGTTTATGACGTCACTTCCGTCTCGTGTCGTTTTTTCTAGGTTTATTAATTATTCTCTTAAATCTTGAAACGTTCTCTTCCACTTAATCTTCGAATCCACGACTTAAGTAGAGAGCATACAATATTCATTTTTACATAGCCCAAATACCTACAAGTAAGGCAGAATGAATAACATTCATCAGCCCAAGATTTGAACGCTTGACTCAGGTGTAGAAATCAGAACATACATCAACTTTGACTGCAAATACTTCAGGGAAGTATTGATAAACTTGACCCATTAAAAATATTTAGCACCTTGAATTTCTTATATTAAATTCCTATTCATTACAAAATATTTAAAGACTATTAAGGTGAAAACGTTCACGTAAGATAGAATTAATAATATTCATCAGCATCTCGATCAGAACGAGATTTGAACACTTGACTCAGGTATAGAAGTCAGAACATGCATCAACTTTGAATGTGAATAGGTACTTCAAACTGTTTGAATCAAACAGCTTTAAAAATGTCACTACCTGATTTATGATGTTCATCAGTACGATTATAGAAAGATGTAGTTTTTGTTTCTGATGTTGATGCTTCGGCTCCCAGTGATTCCTTTTGTTTAATTCTTTGATAGAAAGTACTAGAATATCTAAATTTCTTTTTATTTACCTTAAGCATTTTACAGAATTTTAATAAAGCTTAAAAGCAAGAAAAGAAAACACCAAAACAGAGCAGCACACTATAGTGCGTAACATATATGCATATATGCAATCTGAGGCAATTACATTTATTAGGGTATATTAAGTTATGGTCACTATTAAGTAGCCATTTTTGATCCCCGCGACTTTTTAGTGGCAAAGGATAAGCGACGGCTACTTTATAGTGACCTAGGAAGGTCGCAGTAACCATTTTGATACTTTCAATGCTACTATAAATTAGAGGTAACCAGGTGTCGTGGCCGCGACTACCCCGTAACTTAAATTGTTACTATAAAGTAACAAAAACTTAATGGAGGCATTATGGTAGCACTTGTTGGTGACCGCTACTTTAAAAAGTTACTATAAAGTTTTTGGTCTTTTATGGTGTCATATTCGAAGATTCAGGTAGTTCCAGCCACTTCTTTAAATTACATGTTTGCCACTTGCAATCGGTGTGTTTATTTTCCACTTTTATGGTAGGTAGGCACTAACCAGTCACTCTCGAAATATACTTCAAAGTGACTATTCCTTATAGAGTAACATTTTAAGTGGCAGGGTGGGTCTAGGAACTATACTTTAGGGGCAGTGACATTTAAAAAGGACTGGGAACTATATTTGCTAATTGGGTACTCGAGTTGCAAATATGGATGATATAAAAATGGCGTAGTTGGGAAACTCCAGATATTTAACCGTACTCCGACGAAGTGTCTATAAATTTTTACTGTTTCATTACTTATTTGGACCAAGAGGACAACCAAGTCTTAAAGCTTGCACCATTTCCGACCGCGGTGCACCCTTCGTATTACATTACTACGTCGGTCCGACTTATTTGCCCCAACGTCGTTCCGGGTCTGTAGATACAACTATCACATGACTTAAAATAGTAACCTTCTTTATCTCTAACCTTACTTATTTTGGATGGTGACTTGTTTGTTGATTAATTCTTTGTTGGTCTGTGTCTGTTTTGCACAAAAAATGGGCGAACATCATTTTAAAGTTGTTCAAAAAGATCTAGGGGAAGTCGAGCCGGTACCCCATCAATGGGAGGA